CGCCGCGCCCCCCGCCCTGAAACAGCCTCAGCTCGCGGGACCCCCTGCCATTCCTGGGCTCTCTGCGACCCGTTCACTGGCGCTTAGGGACCCCCACCCCAACTCCTCTGAGCCTCCAGCTCCACAGACCCACAGCTGCCGCGCAAACAGGACCTCCCCATCTTTATCTGAACCCCCATTCCTCCCCTCGCGGGACCTGAGCCCATTCCCACTCCCAATGCACGTGACACACCGCACCCCAGACGCGCAGCACCCACCCTGCCGCACACACAGTACACCCCAGTCTCTCAATTTGAACCCCTGCCTCAACCGGACCCACCCAGCTGTCACAGGAACCCCAACTGTGTCCTCCCTCAGGTGACTGTGTCTCCCATCTCTTGGATTCCCCCATGGTTGCTGCTTCACCCCCCAGTTCACCTCTCAGGGGGGGTCTCCATTTTACCCCTTCTTGAATCTCTGGGGCACCATCTCCGTCACTAATAAAAACCCTAATACCCATGGCAGCCCCTCCTGACCCAGCCTCTTGGAGGAACCTTCAAGCTCTCCCTCAATTTATGTCCTTCCCCCATCCACATAGTCTCTTACTCATTTTCAGTCATGTGCCATGGCTGCTTGTGGAGGGCCTACTATGCACTGAGTTCTACTGTGGCTCTAGAAATTCAATGTCCTGGGGCTGGGAAGGTGGCTTAGTGGTACAGTGCTTGCCTAGCATGCATGAAGGCCTGGGTTCAATTCCTCAGTACCACATAAACAGAAAAAACTGGAAGTGATGCTGTGGCTCACGTGGTAGAGTGCTAGCCTTGAGCAAAAGAAGCTCAGGGACAGTTCCCAGGCCCTGAGTTCGAGCCTCAGGACTGGCAAAAAACAAAAACAAAAACTGGACTATCGAGGATTTGACTCTGAAGGTTCTCAGTAGTGTGTGTGTGTGTGTGTGTGAGCGTGCACGTGTGTGTGCCAATCTTGGGACTTTTTCAGGGCCTGGGCACTGTCCCTGAACTTCTTTTGCTCAAGGCTTGCACTCTACCACTTGAACCACAATGCTACTTCCTGTTTTCTGAGTGGTTTATTAGAGATACGAATCTCCTGGAATTTTATGACCAGGCTGGCTTTGAACTGCAATCCTTAGATCTCAGCTTCTTCTTTTTTTTTGGGGGGGGGGGTGTCCGGTCGTGGGGCCTGAACTCGGCCTGGGCGCTGTCCCTCAGCTCTTCAGCTCAAGGCTAGCGCTCTACTACTTGAGCCACAGTGCCACTTCCGGCTTTTTTCTTTTTGCTTATGTGGTGCTGAGGAATCGAACCCAGGGCCTCAGGCATGCAAGGCAAGCGCTCTACCACTGAGCCAACTTCCCAGCCCAGATCTTAGCTTCTTGAGTGGCTAGGATTACAGTCCTGAGCACTGATACCCAAAAGAAGCTCTCTGAGCTTCTTTTTGCTGGAGGCTAAATCTCTACCGTTTGAGCCACAGCTTTAATTCTAGCTTTTTGGTAGTTTTGGGTTTTTTTTAGTTTTTGCCATTGGTGGAGCCTGAACTCTGTCCCTCAGCTCTTCAGCTCAAGACTAGCGCACTACCACTTGAGCCACAGTGCCACTTCTGGCTTTTTTTGCTTATGTGATGCTGAGGAATTGAACCCAGGGCCTCATGCATGCAATGCAAGCACTCTACCACTGAGCCACCTTCCGAGCCCCTTTGTTAGTTTATTGAAAATAAGAGTTATTAAGAAAGTTGACAAGAAAGGAAAGAGGAATAGATAAGACTCGATTCTCAACAGGCTAGGGCTGTTTATTGCAAGTGAGGAGCACAGATCTTCCTTTGTATATGGAGGTTGTGCAAGGGGGAAGATTTGGGGTCAGGCTTACATGGAGTCTGAGCAAGGAGGCAGAGGTTAATGAAAAAGCCATTAGTTCTGAGGAGGTGAGGGCTTTTTGGTTGGGCCCACAGTGTTTACAGCTGGGCTTAGGTGGAATGCCCTGCCCGCGTGTTAAGCATGTCTGCACATACCTGGGGTTTTGCCTGGTGTATGCACCTGGGATCAATTCTTCTTATTCCATCTTTACATACATAAAATAATTGGGCCAACAGGGGCAAGGCAAGTCTTTCATATAGGGTCTTTGGATACATAAAAAAGATAGGGCTGTAGGAGAAGACAGGGAAAGAGGTAAGACTCTTCTTTGGAAATTCTTTGTCCTATTGGGGATTTATTGTCTGAACTGTTCTGTTTGGGATCTATGGTGGAAATGGTCCCATTTGAGGTTTTTGTTTTTTGTTTTTGTCGGTCATGGGGGTTGAATTCTGGGCCTGGGCACTGTCCCTCAACTCTTTTTTTTTTTTTTTTTTTTTTCAGTCATGAGGCTTGAACTCTGAGCCTGAGCCCTGTTCCTCCCTCAGCTCTTCAGCTCAAGGCTAGCACTCTACCCTTGAGCCACAGCGCCACTTCCAGTTTTCTGGTGGTCTGTTGGAGATAAGAGTCACACAGACTTTCCTGCTTGGGCTGGCTTTGATCCTCAGATCTCAGCCTCCTGAGTAGCTAGGATTACAGGCGTGAGCCACCAGCACTCAGCTGTCCCTTAACTCTTGAACTCAAGGTTACCTCTATACCACTTGGGCCACAGTGCCACTTCCAGTTTTCTGGTGGTTTATTGGAGATAAGAATCCAGACAAACAAGTGGCCACAAAGACAAAATCAGGTCTCAGTGAATGGGGTGACATCTCACCACTTACCAGGGGACTCGAACCCCCTCTACTCATTCTAGAGAATTTTTCTTTTTAGATTTCCAATTATACTCAAATTATACCCCCTCTCTTTTACCTCTTCGAAATGACTGAGTAGGAGGTTGAGAGGAGTAAGCTTGCTTTGTCCTTGCCCCATCTCTGCGACAAGGAGTGTCCAAATTAATAAAACCGAGATAAGAAAGAAGAAGAAGTTAAAATTACACACACACACACCACATACGGGGGTTGGTAATGCACGTGCACTTGGTCACGCTTTCTCTGGGGGGAGGGGGGCGATCTGGTCCAGGCACTCCTGGTATTCTAAAAAGGTGGATGGGGCAATTAAGTGGGAAATGCGCACTCTTCCTCTGGTCTAGGGGATCAGTAAGCCCCTCATCCACCGGCCCCAGGGCTGCGTGCCTAAGATTCAAATTAGAGTTAACAGAAGACATATATGCACACTCAAGACAGACAGCAAGAGCGTCAGACTGCTGGTCAGACAGTCTGCCCAGAAGGGCTTCCAACCAGAGAGAATCGGCCAATCAGGGGGACTCGAACCCCCTCTACCTGATCTCGAGGACAGCCCCACCCAGGGGTCCAGGGGACGTCTCCCACTGGCCCCGCTGGCAGTCTTATAGCGCGTCCGCCAAGACTCGCCGCCAGCCCCAAGACCACACCTGCAGGCTTTCACCATTCCTGAAATATGAAAATTGTATCAAATGATCTAATTGTTTCTTATTCTCTTGGGGAGGGGCTG